TTTACGGATATTGAGAGGAGAGTCACGGTGAATATCAATGATGTGACTGTAATTATTTACCGTCCTACATAACCTTGCAACATTGAGTATATAACCAGAAATAGAAACGAAATAATGTATTTATTGTAATAAAGATAATATTTCTAACAATGGCGTGCTGTTCCATTCGATGGTGTGGGGAAGAACAGCAAAACAACTATTTACAAAATAAACAGAATCAAATTTTATCGGTAATTAAATATATAATATATATAAATTTTCGTCCATTATAGCAAAGCTCAAGTTAACTGGTCTTTTTGAAGTGAAACGTTTGACGACACCAAAAGACGACACCCGTCAATAGTTTCGAATTCAGGCTGGCCAATCGGAGCGCAGTTGTCGCAGTAATGATATGGCAGAATAGTTTTCAAACAAATTAAATATATTTCGTCTCTTATTTCTGGTTATATACCCGATGCAATAAGCGAATTTGAGTCAAGTACGGTTTTAGTCAAATGCGAAATGGAGTAATTTTGTTACGAGGGCAACTTACGGGAACAGGCAAATTGAGTTTTTGAAGCAACTGAGGACTAAAAATCAAGTGTTGAGGTTTTCGCGATTGTTACACGTAAGAAATAAAACTATTTTTTCTGATATGAACCGCGTATATTTTTGTTTTTTCACACAAAACATTGTTTTGGGCCTTTTAAAAGTACCATGGTCACGGCCCTTTACCCTGTCCCATGGTCAGTCGTGGTCATGGGACCATGTAAGGGGCACGAAACGTTAATTTGTTTGAAAAAATTTACATCCGCAAAAACAGTTTGTGACGATGCCACTTCTTTCAACGTCATTCCACCTTTTTATCACCCTTTTCTCTGGATCCTGGCCACTTTTGGAATTTTGAATCGTTCTCTAATTCATTTTCTTCTTACTTTGCTTCATTCCATCGAAATTCTTGAAGAAAAAATACGTGTCCTTGAATAATGTAAACCTAACTGCTTATAAGAAGCAATATATTACATACGAACACACGTGGACCGAGCTTTCTCTTTAATTTCAGGCTACAAGTTTCATTTCCTTTGTATATCAAGATCTTTTTATCAGCGAATGTGTCTTCATTTTCCAGGATTCCCCCCGTTCGAATGGTGGGCCGCCCCTCCAGACGAGGTCATTCTGCGAGTTAGAGTCTTTAACGTGACCAATCATGAGAGGTTTATGCTGGGCTTAGACGAAAAGATGAACGTAGAAGAAATTGGACCTATTGTTTATTTGTAAGTTGTTTCATTTTTCTGATTTCTACTTAAATATCTGACTAAAGGAAACATCAAGCAAGACACTCTATGGCTAGTAGCTACTTTAACCAATGTAACAGAATGGCTTTCAGTTCTTAACCGTTTGACTCCTGACTTGGCAGATTATGTAGTGTTACATCTTACAATAAGTCACCATTCTTCTGTATGCCATTCGTTAACTGAGTTTCAAAGAAAGTAATGATGCAAGTTTGAGTTAAATGAGACAGACACTGCTCGAATAAAATTGAAATGCCTTTCGAAAGCCCGGGAAGTCCCCAACCTACAACCTAAACGTGAGGTCATAATCAATAGTTTTGTCTTCTCCAAGTTTTCAATTTCTCACCAAAATGACGTTACGCGAGTTATTAACGTAAAATCGACTAGTTCAAACATAGAAATAAGCGGAGAAAAGTTACACCTTGTTAATAAAGCAGTCTTCTTGGAAGTGGCCTTAGATAGTAAACTTCAATGGTTTCCACAAATATCTTCCCTGGCCAGCAGATTAAGCTCCACTGCATACGCAGTCCGCAGAATACGTGAGCTTACCGATCTTAGTACTGCTAGACTAGTTTACTTCAGTTACTTCCATAGTATAATGTCCTACGGGATTCTCATGTGGGGTAAAGCGGCAGATATTCAAACCATATTTGTATTGGAAAAACGAGCTATTCGTTTTGTGTACCGTCTGGGCTCTCGGGTTTCTCTCAGATAAAAGTTTAAGGAGTCTGGTATCATGACTGTGGCATCACAGTACATTTACTCAAATATTTTATATGCCCCATTGACTTACAAAAAGTCAATGATATGCCCGTAAAAATATACATAATTTCAATAAGAAAGAGGATGTCCAAACTCATGGTATCACGGTTTCGATTAACCAAGGTAAACGACTCTTTTATGTGGAACTGTATACGTTTTTACAATAAGATTCCGGAGCATATATTAAGATTATCATTTCCTAAGTTTAAAAACGACATTAAAAATATTTTGATTGAAAAGTCATATTACAAAATTGAAGACTACGTGTTAGATAAAGATGTATGAAAAGACGACACGGCTCCAGAATCCACTTCATAGCATTTAAGTTTATTTGAACAGAGCAATCCCTAGAGTTTCTTCCTCGTTCTTCTCAGGGAAGTCATCGTAGTGCAGTAGCTTAATGTAATGTAAATGTGACGTTGTCACGTGTAAATTTATTTTACCTATGGAATAAATGATCTTTGACTTATATCTATCGTCTAGTTATGTCATGACCCCCATCCATATACTATTTATTTTTTTCCATCCTTTAAGCCCCCATCCTAATATATCGGTAGTATTGTCTATTGCGTATTAAGAATCGATGTTACCTCAGTTTGAATTAAAATTCCCGTACTAATACGGTTCAGTTTGCTTAGGTCGAGCGGCGGGCGCACTGTCTTTATTTTAGAATTATTTTTTTTACAAATGTAATTAAAGACATTTGAAAAATGTATATCGTAGTATACATGTTCTATGTAGTCCAGTTGATATTTAAAAAAAGGTATATGTAAAGTACCTATTGAATACACCGGTTTTCTTATAGAATTTCGAGATAAGTTTGTTTCTTTTTCTATCGGGAAAATGTTTAGGAACCGTGTTTTCACACAGTATAGTAATCAGTGTATATCTATAATATATATATCTATGATACATATATAGTGTATATGTATCATTTATAGATTTTCCCGAAAATGATTGATTCAACTCTTTATATTTCAAATCTTTACAAATCTTCATATTTCACTGTTGTACGGAATCAAACAAAGCTATTTGAGTACTTATATATAGACTTTTAAGACATTAGTAGTCGTATAATAAGAAAGTACCTAATGTACCTCCAAAGAAACGCAACAACACGGTTTATATGTGTGCCCGCCCGCCGCGCGACATGTACAAACGCAAACATTCGCATAATCTCGTAGTGCTCTCGCGTCGCGTCGACGGCACTCACCTCATCGAAAGCCACCAAAGGATGACCTTTCCATTTAGTTGCAACCGATCTATGTAATTGAGACGGCGAATTTACCAGTTCTATTAATACAGTCCACCTTTTGTTTCACATCCCATTAGAACCCTAAGATTGGTCCTTCGAGCCGGATGACTGACTGATGATGACGATGACTGTATGTCTTTAGATTTTTTGTTTTTATAATATCTAGTGGTGGAACGAAGAAGTCGTGCGCCTGATGGTAAGGCACAGACAGACACTCCTATCTATAACACTTGCAGTACCACTCAGACGTTAAATCGCAAAGACCTGAAGGGCACTGCCACTGCGCCTAATGATGATAGAGACTCAGTCTTTTAAAACGTTTTATAACGACTCGACTCCATTTTACAGGACTCAACTCTAAAATTAAGACTGGGGTTCGAGTTTTTATTAATAAGACTCAGCCGTTATACTAAAACACTCAGAAGACTTGAACGACTTGAAAGATTTAAACGACTCGAGTTGCTTGCAAAGGACTTATACCTATTTTATGGCTTATTAAACCCGAAGTTTATAAATAAAAATGACGTAAGTAGTATGTAGTAAATAATCACGTTTATTTACTTATAATAAAAATCGTAAAATAAATACCTTGTGGGTAGAAATAAAATCACGCCATACGGCTCATGACCCGCGTCTCCCGAGGCTAAGAGGCGCCAGTCGTTTTTGTCTTTTTAGTCGTTTTAGTCCTATAAGTCTTTTAGGCTTCCTAAGGTTAAAGGACTTCGACTCGAATTAGTCTTCAGTTTTAGTCTTACGACTCAAGATAAAAGACTAGACTTGTCGTGAGGCGTTGGAAATTAGTCGAGGTTTTTCAAAAGGCCTCAAAAGACTGAGCCTCTTTCATCACTAACTGCGCCCGTCACATAAGTTGACAAGTCCCATGTGCCTGTAATTTCACCAGCACCCTTACTCCTCAAAACCGGAACACAGTAGTGCTGGCATTACTGCTCGGTAGCAGAAATATGTAAGTAAGGTGGCAGTAGTACCCTGGACGGACTCTTTTAAGGGAGCTCTGCAATACGACGGAGTAGGTACTGCAGTTGTCTGGTTACCGGTACATTAGTATCACTAGCGTCTATTGTTTAATATTAATGACCACGGTGGCCTTATCCCAAGCGTCGAAAAGCTATGACGTCAAACGTTAATATTTGTAAGTATCACGTGTAGAAATACACGGTGACTCAATAATGATGCAATTTTTTTTTAGCTGGGGAGGTATTTATTGTTATTATAGATCGTTAGAGTACAGCGGGTAAAAAACCTGCATAACCAAAATACGAGCAAAAACTTACTTATAAAAGTACAGTCAAACTCAACAAAGTTTCGATTTTAGATTTTATAGCAAATACAGCCACAGGAATTGGAATCGTCTATCTCTGTACTTAAGAAGCAAGCATTCACCCGTTGGGTTGCCACCGCCCGACCGAGTGCACCATGGTTGTATATTTCTAGTAGTATTTAATTTGTATATACAAAGTTGGTCGATTCCACACGGTGAGGTCTGCCACCGTATGACGCACAGTTTTCAAAAGATAGGTAGAGCGTACATTTTTTGATAACATATCGATTTGTATGATACGTCTTTCTGCATCAACTGTAACAACCCTACTCAACAACTTTTTATTGGATAATGAATATTACAATGTAGAGAAAATTATTTTGTAATAGCTAATTTTCTTATGCAGCGTGTTGTATTTTGACAATATTTTGTTTTTTACTCTGTGTTTTATATGTTTGAATCGTTGCATTAATTAATATTTATTCTATTTACTAACTGACGCAGATTTGTATGAGAAGATGAAAGTCTAATTTTTGAAAGGTGTAAATTGCTGAACACTGCCGAAGGTGTTTTCAGATGTATATAATTGAAAATTTGTTTTTTTTTTTTTCAGAGAAAAGCTACTTCACTACGACATAAAATTCAACGAAAACTCAACCTTAACGTATACTGCTAAAAGATATCCTATATACCTGCCAGAACAAAACAACATAGACATAAACGCTACGCTTATTGTGCCTAATTTAGCTGTATTGGTAATATTCACCTTGTATTATTCTATGAAAAACAGCGCCACCAACTTAATATAGCTCAAAATCAGCTTCCTACATTATCGTACATTGTGTACTCAATGATGCTTTTATATCACAATATTTTTACATTATATTACGAGTTTACATATGTACTTACCTGTACAGCCTTTTTTAATGTTAACTATACACGAAGTGCTCTATAAGTACAAACATAAATGTCTGCACTTTAAAAACTACCAAGATCAAGGTTCCTTAAATCATGTTCATCGCATTATAGCAACACGACTGTTTTACATTTCGTAAACAATACAATTATTAGGTACAAACATAAAATTTGTAACCTTGCTGCACGTATTTTTCTTTGATGCATAGTGATTATTATTGTTAATATTTATATAATGTGAGAAAACTATTCCATTACTATGAATAATTTAGCTTCAATTGTGTGAAAATGTTTGGCAACATGATTCAGTGTAATATTTCTATAAAATAATAAAATGTGTCGAAATGATTTCTTCTAAAAGTTTTGCAAAAGTTTATTATTCCCGCGCATTTTGTGTTCCCGTCACAATGAATACAATTAAATTGAATTCGTAATCAGCAATGTTTCAAGATTCGTTATTATTCTAAGGTTTCAACATTTAATTTTGTTGAAGCTAAAAACAAGTTTATTTTTGTAAACAAATTTTTAATTCATGAATTAATACAAAAAGCAGACTTAAGGAAATAAAAGAATTTTATTTTGATTGTTCCTTTTTTAAATTTATTTCATGACCATGGATTTAAGTCCTTGGTCGATTTCATTGTTCAATTATTTAAATGTTACCAAAATAAACTATTATTCACCCAAAAATCGAGATAACATTTGTAATTTTTGTGTTTATTATCTTTATTTTTTAATTACAGGGCATAGCATCCTACCTCCACGATGCCAATTACATAGTGCGTACTGGTTTTCGTTTCCTAGCTAGTTCGCATGGTAGCGAAATGTTTATAAAAAAGACAATTTATGAATATCTTTGGGATTATAAAGAACCCGTGTTAGATACTTCTAAAAACTTAGCACCTGGTTTAGTGCCCGTAAACAATATGGGCATGTTATCGAGAGTAAGTAAAAATGTATTCATGAAACATCTATGTCTAATAAATAACAATATAAGGTACAATACACTGTAAAGTGTAGTGCACACGCGCCCGTTATTTTAATCGAAGATATTTCGAGTTAACCTTTCTTTACTTATAATTCTTTACTAATTATTTTTTCGCAGATTTATTCCGACTTTACGGACATAGTTACAGTAAAAATCGGTTCCAATCATGGACATTCCGAATTTTTCAAGATCGATAAATATAGAGGTCAATCTCAACTGCCTGGATATGACGCCGATGTGAGTGAATATTTCAATCAAATTTAATATATAATAGATTTATCAATTACGTTTGAAGGCGAGCGGCGAAGTAGTAGACCTTTGCAATTTAAAGCTCGGAATGGCACTACAACTGTGTTGGCGTATCGCTTGCGACATACATGAAAAAAAGCAAGGCAATCTATAATTCATATATATGAAATTGTAGACCATAGTGAAATGTACTTTATGAGGTATATTGTATATTATTATTTTATTTTCATAATATGCAGGTAAGGTACAATAAAAGCTTAAATACTAGAAAGTAAAACTAGGATTAAATTCTATGTATAAATTTGGATCCCCGCTGCAAGGTACTCAAGATGCTGGCAGCGTTCCCCCTTTGTATGGCTATGCTAATGCGTTGGGCAAGCTAGCCCTTGAGTGTCGCAGACAGTCTATTAATTTTTTGGATAAAATTTAGTAGAGATGAAAGGTACCGGGACCCCAAGGGTTTCGACACCAAAGGCTGTAAATAGGTAGTCGGAGCTGAGGTGTTCTTTCCGCCAGCTCAGCTGCGGTCCCAGCCCTCTTACTGGTGTGCTGGAGATGGGGTGGGGCAAGTGTGTCGGCACACGTAGCGTCCCACACCAGCGCCCGGCCCATATTCCAGGGGATGAGAGTCATTCCGTCCGGGCGTTTGCTCATATTTCTTTCCTAAACACGATAATTTGAAAATTTTCAGCAATGCCCAGATCGCATCGTCGGGTCGACGGAAGGAGTGATGTATCAACAACGACTGAAGAAAGATGACGTTTTATTGTATTGGAGAAAGACTGTTTGCAAATTGATGCCACTTTATTTTGATAGTAAGTGTATTTTAAGCTGCATGGAATAAAATATTGGAAAAGTAATGATAAATATGAAAAATTTGATGATGAGGAAGCAAAAAGTTATGTCAGAAGGTCAGAAACGTAAGAATTGTACTATAGGCGAGATATTGTGTATGCATATTAAGTATTATTATTAAGCAAGGTACAAGTACATTTATCGTATAAATATTACCTCTTTTAAAAACTTGGATTCGCCATAATCATACGTTGGGAAGGACGTTGTTAATTAGATAGGTAGAGAGATAAACACATTATTCACTGATATAACACAAATACAGATTAAACATAAAAAGAAAACATAACATGATTATCACAGCACTGAAACAAACACTATAAAAAGAAGATCTTTCAATAAAATTTTGTATTGTCCATAACCCAGTTAGGGTGTTGCAAATAAAATTTATTAATAAATTATTAATAATAGTAAGCAGTAACGTACAACCAACATGATCATAGTTTTGAGAAAATGGCGCCTAAATATTTTTTCATGGTTGTAGCTAATGGATTTATGGCAACTGTTTTTACCATTTTTTATTATTTGGATATTTCGAATCACTTAAAATGTAGACAAGACGATAAGCTACAATTTGGCATTAATATCTCAAAGTTCAAGTTTTTATGAGATGACACGTTATTGCTTATTGGAATCCCTATTAATTTGTCATTGAAGATCAAATAATTTTTTGATCACCAGATAGATGGTGTGTGTAACTGACTGACATGGTAACATGTCAGTCAGTCGTGACAATGGGATCTATAAAGAGATTTGTTTGAAAACTAAATATACGCATTTCCTTTGTGTAACAATCGCGAAAACCTAAGAACTGTATATTAATTTCTCTATTAACGTTTTAGTTATGTCTAATACCTACCATAGTTTTTCGAAACCTGTATTTGTTTTTCTCTGTTTTTAAAGTATTTGACATGTATCTTATGTATCTTACAGGTGAATTTATTCTAGACAACGTGCCAGTATACAGATACAATCTATCCGAGTCTGTATTTGACAGAGTCATTAACGTTACGGATTGTTACGATACAGTACCTTCGTTGCCACCTGGTTTGAGCGACGGTTCTAAATGTTATTATGGTAAGAATTTTCTCAGATGCCACTCTATTATAGGTGTATCGTTCTTTGACACTTATTTTTTACACAAGATTTTATTTTCCAGATTTCCCCATGGTCATCTCCTATCCGCATTTCTATACCGGTACACCGCCAAAGGATATGTACGTTACCGGACTTCAACCAGACGAAAACCTTCATAATTCTTTCGTCGTTTTAGAGCCTGTAAGTATTTTAAAGTAAAGTAATATACGTTTGTAAAAAATGCTGGTCTCAAACTGCGGCAAGTAGAGACAACAAAGCAATTCTTGTTACATCTCTGACATACCTTTTTCGCTTCCCCTTTATTCTTGTTTTTTTTAAAGACATCCTCAACCTGGTCGAGGCAAGTGTGCCATTGACCTTTCTCCATCCCGGGATACAACTGACTTACGGCAATCTTGGGTGGCACTAAGCTTCTAAAGAGAAGACTCTTATTTCCAGCCATTGTTCGTTGAGCCTGGTGAAATGGGGCTTATAGAAAAGCAACCAAATAGATTAACTGCTACTACCATCTTCGTACTCCTCTACCGATGGTTATAAACCACAACAGACCCTTATTGTAGCCGTGGTAACGTAATGGTATGACGTCTCAAGGAGAAGCCATAGGTTCGAATCCTACCTCGCACCTCTGCTTTTCTCGGAATTATGCGAAATTTAATTTGAAATTTTCCATGAGCTTTTCGGTGAAGGAAAACATCGCATAAACCTGCGCTTGAAGAAGGTTTATAGCCCTCGGAAAACGTGTGAAGTCCAACCCGCATTGGGTCAGCGTGGCGGCTTATAGCCTATACACTCGCCTGAGAGGAGACCCGTGCCCACGCATAAATGGGTTGATGATTACCTTTTACTCGTTTTGGCAAAGCTGTTGTAGGGCAAGAGGTAATATTAGGTAGACTTTTGCGTTTGATTCTATCTAAAGGCAACTATGTTTCTAAGCTAACAACGTATATTTCTAAGCTATGATTGTTTTATTATGTTCCAGCTTACTGGAATACCGTTCAGATCAGTCGCAAGAATGCAGAGCAATCTCAGAGTTCACGACATGTCTGGCTTCCCAATTGAATATAGAAAATTTTCAAACTTGGTCGTTCCATTATTTTGGGCGGAATATGTAAGTGTTATAATATTAAGTTCAACATTTCAATATGCTCTCCTTTTTACTACTGGAAGAAAATGACGGACCACTAACTGAACTAAACGTATATGATGTAAACAAAGTTTTCAATTGAATTTCGGGTTACGTTCTTGAGTTAGATTACACCCATGTAAGGCGATTTATGTTTGTGGGCTATCAGAAAAGGAATAAAATATACTTCCCTGCAAATCTTTGCTTTTGTAGTTAGGACAAGGAAAAGTTGAAATTTGCATATCATTAAGGAAACGTACAAATCTGGTTTCTCTTTATTTAAAAACAAAAAGAGACCACATTACATTTAAATGGTCCAGGGAAAGACTAGTCAAAGTCACTTGAGGATAACTGTAGGAAAAAATAACACTAAATTACAAATTTTGACTTTAAAAAAGTATTCTTCGAGCAAAGTAGTTTTTTTTATTTATTTTCACATGCTGGTAACGAAAACAATAATTATTTATATAAATTAGTTTCCATTTATTAGAAATAAAAAAATACAAAATTATGCAAAAATATCAAAAAAATTACTGTTATTCTATTCATTAGCAGAATTTCGACGACGTTTATTTGCAGCTCTCTTATATTCTGCTTCTGGAACATCCCGATAAATAGTCCAACAATAATCCGCCAACATTGAAACGTTCCACTTGCCCTGATATCGTTTTTCCATGTTTGCGATGTCCTGATGGAAACGCTCCCCATGTTCATCGCTTAAAGCCCCACAATTATCCGGAAATAAGTCCAAATGAGAATGTAAAAAGTGTATTTTCAAGGACATATTACAACCTAGTTTTTGGTATGATGATAACATATTTTCGACAAGCTCAGCATAGTTGTCACTTCTTTTATTTCCCAAAAAGTTTCTTGCCACAAGGCGAAAATCGTTCCAGGCTTGTTTTTCTTTACCTTCTAGCACAGAGTCGAAATTAACATCGTTAAATAAATTTCTTATTTGCGGACCGATGAATATACCTTCCTTGATCTTAGCTTCACTTAATCTTGAGAATTTCTGGCGTAGGTATTGAAAAGCAGCTCCACTTTTGTTCATCGCTTTTACGAAATTTTTCATCAGCCCTAGTTTTATGTGTAATGGTGGAAGTAACACTTTTTGTGGATTAACTAAAGGGCTATTTTGAACATTTTTTTTGCCCAGGTTGAAGTGACTGACGTTGTGGCCATACCTTTTTTGTATAATGCTCTTTTCTATTACGACTATCCCATTCGCAAACAAAACAACAAAATTTTGTGTAGCCTAATTGTAGCCCAAGCAGCAGAGCTACGACTTTCAAATCTCCGCAGATTTGCCATTGGTGTTCATTATACTTAATGCACAACAAAAGAGTTTTCATATTTTCATAAGTCTCTTTCATATGGACTGCGTGAGCAATAGGAATTGAAGGTAAAATATTTCGGTTATGTAACAAAACAGCTTTTAAACTTAATTTAGAGCTATCTATGAAAAGCCTCCATTCATTCTGTTTATATGTAATGTTAAGAACTCCCATCAAACCACTGATATCTTTACAAAAAACTAAACTTTCAACCATTTCAAAATACTTGGTACTTGGTACTTGGTGCAACGGGCTGGTATCCGCAACTCGACGACAAAGCGCCTATTTTGCGTGTTTTTGCCCATTTCAAAATATTGTATCAACTCTTTTTGTCTAGTACGGAAAGCTGTTATAGCCACACCACTTTCTAAAAGATTCCACTGTTGCAGTCTCGAGCCTAGAAGTTCTGCTTTGTTCTTTGGCAATTCCAAGTCCCTTACAAGATCATTTAATTCAGCTTGCGTTATCATGTGTGGCTGTGATGATGTAGTAGGTACTTCGTATTCTGACATTGAGGAAATAGATGGTGAAGTAGATGTGATTTCATCTTTGTTGTCGTTAATTTTAGGAGGTTTGGGGATTGGGTGAAGATCGCTATGCGGCAGAGGGCGACCAGCCGATGGTACATTTGGATATACTATGGCACTTTTCTTTTTTTTAGAAACACCTTTACCTTTTCCGAATACTGTGGTTGTTTGGCAGAAATAACAATCAGTTGCGTGATTTGTCGATTCCCGCCATTGCATTGGCACTGCGAAACGAAGTGATGTTTTTTTGCCACTCAGCCAATTTCTCAAACCTGTAGCACACGAATTGCAGCAGAAATGTGGAACCCAGCCTTTGTCCTGGTGTGATATGTCTTTGTTAAAGTAGTAAGAATAGGCTTTTTTTATCATAGGCGATATAGAACACCTTTGTTTATTAAAAATCACCTCTCCGCAAACGTAACAAAAATTGTCGGGATTATTCACACATTTCCGAGACATTATGTTATAAAATAATTTTTAGTTTCACTTTTTTTTCACTTTTAGCACATTTATTATTCAGTAATACAGAACAGAGCACTAATGTACGATATTTTTAACATTTGATGCCAACTAATAAAGTTAATATGAACACTGTCAAGTTGAATGAGGGTAGAATCGTAAAATTTGGGAGATAGGAGGTATCTTGAAAACTTAAACTAATAAATTACTTTTACTTATCAAATCGTATTTAGCATGTATAGACAAGCAGAAATTAGTTAAAATTATTTCGGATACTTTTGCATTGTAGACTAGTGTAATTTTTCACTTGGAAAACTGTTCAATTATGGTGAAAAAGACATGCAAAAATGCTACCCCAAATAAAGTCAATATTGACATAATGTGTGTAACCTTATGTATTCCATTTTACTTAAAGAACCTTTATAAATCTTATTCAACTTTTTTACCATTTAGTCTCAAGCATTTTATGCCCAAAACAAAACTTATAATTTATCGACATATTAAACCTTATTTTTTAACGAATTAGATGGCGATATTACTTCAAAACATGTTTTTAGCTGACTTTGATCGTTCTTTCCATGGAAGAAAAAAAACAATGAAAGTTCCTTAAACCTCGAACCGATGTCGTCAAAACTAACACATTTTTAATTTGAAACACTACAAAGTCTTGATATCGATTGGTCGTAATTACGAATTTAAAAAGAAATAACAAATTCAGCCTCCGTAGCATGGATTGTTAATATAATTTAATATTATATTGAAATTTCAATCAATATGCTGCCATCTAGCGTTTAATTGCTGAACGACGACGATTTGGAGTTATTAATTTTTTTTCACCAGAAAAGAAGCGACCATATTGCAGGGGTATAAGCTTTACTTTCGTTTCATGTAACAAAAAAATTATTTCGATAAACAGAAAATTGAAAATTTATTAAAATATCACTTTCCGATTAAATGAACCACCACGGGTAATATTTTTTGTGCAGCTATCATTTTTACACTACAGCACAATAAGGCATTTTTCTACGATTTCAGAGAATTTGCACGAAAGAATGACACAACCACACCCTACCAAGCCAAAATTGGGACCATTAGCATCTAATAGTCTGTGATTGAGACTGAACTCAAATAGTTCTTTCGAGACCTATAGTTGCCGCGCGTCAAACGCTAACTAACCACTTCTACTGTATTTATTGTTCTGTGGTTCTTTCCTTGGTCTCTTCATTTCAAATCAATAGTATATATTTTAACCAAAATTCTACAAATTGATGAGAAAGAACCTAGAAATGTGTTATTTTACATTTACATTTTACGTATTATATTAACACTACTCTGTCAACCACAAAAGCAAAATTTCAGGCGTATAGCTACTCATTTTTGCATTCTTGCTGCTCATTTAAACAAAAACCAATACTGTCAAATCAGAAACAGAACTTTAAAAAAAATGATATTGTTGTTTTGCTTTGTTCCAGAACCAAGTAAACCTGCCAAGCATCATCAGATGGACAATTTACTTCATGGTGGTTGTCCTGCCACCCTTATCTATCGTTATGAGCATAGCAGGGATTCTTTTAGGCTGTTACTTACTAGCCAAACAAATATATCTTCATAAGCTTAAAAATGACAGCCTCAATTCCATTCTGATTTCTAAAAGTAAAAATGTGAATAATATAGCCAAGAATAAAATATTTTCTTATGAAAAGGAAGCGTTTTTAAAGATACCTAGTTAATATAATGACGTTTTGATTCTATTGCATATATTTCTGAAACTTATTTAAGAGAAGAAAGCAAAAAAAGAATAAATCAACCATTAAAATTAAAATAACTACGCTACAGGAGCCACAAATACCACAAATCAGTTTCAGAAATTAAATGCGACATGTAAATGCCTTTTTTTATAGGAGATATTATGACAAGTAAAAGACTGAGACTAAATGTATGTTTTTGAATGTTATATATACAAAGTATTGCGACCTAATTTTAGACAAAATAGATGATTGAGATACAGTTTTGCTATTGTTGAAATATTGTTAATAATGCTCGTAATAATGTTACGAAATTATATATTGAGTAAAACCTTTAATTTCTCCTTTATTAATAAAAAGTATAGGGTCAAATGTGTGTCAATCTTAACACTAAAGGTTTAAATTTAACTCTATGCCGCTTGCAACAAGAATGGTCCTAAGCCCAATGTGTGAAGCTTGATGTGCTCTTGACTGTACGTACAACCAATTATATACATTTACGTACTTAAAGTTAGTGATGCAACAGACAGTGTATACACTGCTGGGCAATGGCCAAAAAAGTGCAATTATGACACCAAAAAAACAAGCCCTATTAAAATCTATTTCGTTGAGATCTTTATAGTATTTACACTTCCGCATCCGTTTTTCCGTTTCCGTTTCGGCTAAGATTTAGTTTTGCATCTTGATTCTGGGGGTCTACTCTCGATCTCCGTCCGACATCCGTCCGAAACAATTACTGTCAAATAAGTAATATTTGACAAAATTAAAAGACAAGTATCAAGTATGAAGCTTCATTCGCATCACGCGTCTTTTCATTTGGTCAAGTATTGCTTATTTGGCAGTAATTGTTTCGGACGGAAGTCCGACGGAGATCGAGAGTTGACCCCAAGATACTTTCGTTGCATCACTACTTACAGACATCAGTTGTATGTCATAATGAAATTGTAAACGATATTTGTGTTTTGAAAATTCATATATATTTTTTTTATCCACGATGCACACACTCATATATCTATATATATAATTTGTAACATTTATGTTGCGTCTATGTGAAAATTATAATATCGACCATTTATAACAAAAATTTTATAATATCGACACAGAATGTGTCCAGAAAGATGCATTTGAACCAATCCTGCTGTATAGTAGTGAGGGCAGGTCAAAAATACCAAAAATAAATGGGTATTCATACACATGAAGAGGCTGATGCGAATGGAAGAAACAAAGACGTTTAGGGTCGCTGCTTACCCTATGAGGCGTGTTATTGTATTTAATTTAAAACATTGAGGGTCGTATTCCAGAACTCTACTCAATGCTCAAGTCAGGATTTGAGTATTGCAGTGAGCACCGAAAATCATACTCAAGTCCTTGCCATTAGAGTCGTATTTCCAGTGCTTGAAATCATACTCAAGTCTGCTCAAATCCTGACTTGAGCCTTGAGTAGAGTTCTAGAATACGACCCTTAGGGTCGTATTTCAGAACGACTACGACGACGATACGACTCAATACTATGTACTCAATATGATTTGAGACTGATTGATGACTGATTGATTGATATGACTTGAGTATGATTTCTAGCACTGGAAATACGACCCTAATGGCAAGGACTTGAGTATGATTTTCAGTGCTCACTGCAATACTCAAGTCCTGACTTGAGTATTGAGTAGAGTTCTGGAATACGGCCTTAAAACACCTAACGGAATGTTGCCATCTTTTTTTATACTGTATCTTTTTCTAAGAACACTCGTATATAGAATATTTTTTTTATAATTTTTCTATTTGGCATTTTCTCAAGTGGATTAATAAATAAAATTTGAACATAGACTGAATTCTGCCGTCCATTAACTAAAATGCGACAAGTGACAAATGGTAAAGAAACCGTTTTAAATAGCAAAAAATAAAGCACAAAATTCTTTTTAAAAACAGTGAAATTACTTAACGTGTTCGACATCGGAACTTATCCTAACGATGCATAGCTGAAGTATAGTTAAACAATTTATTATTTCAGTACTATAAAACTAGGTTATACTTTTTACGACATCTCAAAAAAGTATTTTGTCACTTAACCGCGTTTTAGTTCGCAGACGGCAGAATCTCACAAATTTATTTAAATAAAATTGTACCATTTTGTGTTGAACAACATATTGACAAAGAATGTATACTTTTTTACCTCACTACATACTTAAGAAAGAATCATTTTGTAAGTCTCAATTTTAATTGAAAGAAATGGTATTTAATAAGTTACGTAGATTAGATGAATGGGTAGATTTAGCTGTGATCGTTCCTAATAATTAATAATTTTACTATTTGCTCACTAGTAGCTTTAAGAAGTTTTCGTATATAAGTAGTAAGTGAAATAAAAAGTAAAGAAAATGATATGTAGTTTTATTCCCCATAAGTAAGCAAGTGAACGTAAAATAGCAATATTACCATTTAAATTTGTAACAAAAAAAAGAAAAAGAATATTTTAACAATGCCTCATCAAAAAATTAAATTGATATCTAAACTGGTCACAAGAACTATTTAACTATTTTAGTTAATAAAATCCCATTTTTGCAATATGCAGAAAGGAGAAACAAAACGCACATTGACAGTTTGAATTACTTTTCATTTCGCGGGTGTTAGCAATTTTTTCTCAAGTGGAAGTTTGAAAATAAATACCTACCTTTCCTATCTTGCTTCTCAAGTTACAAGTTCGTCTAAACATTTGTTATGTAGTTTGCATTTGCTTTTAAAAATGAATATGAGTAAACGTGATTGTAATGGCTGGGTATTATGTCCCAGCCAAAGATTACCAGGAAAATTTTACTTCTTCAACACGCTTTCTGGTGAAGCTGTATGGAGTTTAAACGAGTTGGAGGTGAGTTGGGGTGTTTTACGCCATATTTATACTTTAGAGTCGAAAACTAACTTGAAATTTGCGAATTAACAAAGTTTGTGAAAAAAATTTCGACCGCGTGGTGAACGCTGACGAAGAGACAAGCATCAAGTCTTCCTGTTTTCCACGATGCGTGACTGCAATTTTAATCCGATTACTAGTTGGACTGTCAATTACCACCGATATGAAAACTTTTTTTGTTACTACGTGAAAGCAATAAATTTTAACGCCGAAATTACGGGTACGTGAGATTTGGCAATTTAAGGCTCAAGTTAACGAGCGCAGTGACAATACCCCTCAGATCGTTGCGATTTAAAGCTCTTGACTAGCTTTGCAACTGTTATGGATCGGCAGGTCGAGTACCGCCAGGCCCACTACGTGTTTGTCCCGTCTCTTGGTGTCATAAAAAAAGTATAATAAGTGTACATTTATTAGGTGTAAAAGTTCAGCGTAACAAATGTACAGTTTATGAGTATAAATTTTTTAATAGGGGACCTCCTCCGTTTGCTGAAGATTTCGGGGAGCGACCTCGGCACTCCAAGGTACTTTGCCCTGTATCTGGCCATGCCGGAGCACTGTAGTAGGATGTGCGCGTTTCCTCCCCCTCCATGCACGCTTTGCATAGAGGGTTGTCTCTGATACCTAAATTAAAAAGATGTTTATTGTATGGACCATGACCCGTTAGGGCAGCAGTTAGAGTGCGAAGCTCTTGCCTTTTAAATTTGATTAATTTTCGAGATAGACTAGTGTTGAGTGTCGGGAGTACTTCCCTCGCCTATGTACAAACCGTAAGGGTTGTCCTTGTGTTATCATGAAAAGATTTTGTACTTTTGTGTATAGTTGTCCTTGACCACTGGTAGGGGAGGGACACTATGGGTTCTGGTCCTACAGCGTCCGTCTCCGACCCTTCTTTGGCTAGTTCATCTGCTGCGTCATTGCCACATGAGCCACAGTGTCCAAGGCCCTATGTTACGTGTGACTAGGGTACTGTACTGAGGGAGTGGTCATAGTTAACAACGACCTCTGTGGTTGAGTGGCTTGCATACTGGTTTTCATAGTGTCGCCATTTCTGAGGTCCCGGGTATTCGATCCCCGACCGGGTCATTGTCGAAAAACTTTTATATATTATCTTGGGTCTGGGTGTTCATGGCACTGTCGTTGTTTCCGATTTCTATAACACAAGTGCTTTGGTTACTTACTTTGGGCTCGGAGCAATGTATATGTTGTCTGATATTTATTTAGTTAAATACTACAGTTTTAAATTAAAATATATTTCATTGCACTGTATAAACAAAATACAAAGATATCACAAAATATTATAAAATAAGCTTACTGCATGCAATTTCTACCAGGCTACCGTATGGAAGCAGATGATCTTCATTTTTAAGAAACTTCTATCGCTATCAATTTTATTTAGCATAACATTTTATAATAACGTATAATTACTAAATAAACCCATGGAATTTGTTTCAGAAAAGAACAGCTAGACAAAATGACATTCAACATGTGAAATGGCTGAGCTACCCTGAACCAGACTGTCCACCGGAAGAGCCCACTACCAATCCCTGGCAACCCAAAAGACTTTCAAGTTGGGGTCGCCAAACTCCTTCATTTGGACAAGTTGCTTTTCCAAAATATACACCAAATCTTGGGCCAACCATGACCCCTAATATATGCTCAAATATTAGTTCTAATATGCCTAATCATATGGGACCATCAACAAATCAAATTATGGCACCACATATGACAGTATTAGGGGGACCTAATGATACTTACATAAATATGCCTTACCCCATACCTTTATCAATGATGAATCATGACTGGCAGAGAAATTTTGAACCAAATATGCCTTATTGGTCACCAGAAATGGATGGACCTACGAGTGGTGTACCAAAGAGATTCTTCCGATATGAAAATCCAATCAATAAAATAGGAGAGAGTTCTTATAACAAAAATAATTGGATACAACAACAAATGTGTAATAAAAGACAGGTGTTCGGCCAAAAGCAAAATAATGATTCAAACTGTCCAACCGTAATTAACGATCAAAATGCTTTTGGGCTAAATCGTGACACAATGAGTGGTAAAAAATCTGTTTTCAATACCAACAATAAGCAGATTTTCAAAGAAACTTGGCGACAGCCTGATGTGTATAATGCAGTAAAGCATACTTTTGGCCGTTTAAATAGTTCAGAAGACTTTGAATTGCCATGTGTAAGTCAAAAGTCACAGAAAATTTTCCCTAATGCAAATGTAAGGTATTTCAATGGCAATTCCTTTGCATATCAACCAGATAATAACTACATTGACATACCTAAGGTTAGCCCTCAAAAACTTGCACCACTCCCTATCACTGAGATGATAAAACTGTCTAAGTCAATGGAAAATTTGTCAAATTTCAAAGAGAATACTAACAATTTTGTAACACCTCAGAAATCATCTGATATCTTTCGTAGTTACGGTAACTCCAAATCAATGGAAAACTTGTCTCTCAAAGACTCTAGATTAGTTCAGAAAAAATTACCAACGAAACTTAATGTGCAACTTTTCCCAACAACTGGTTCAAGTTTTACAGAAACTAACACCACAATTGTGGAGTCACAATCCAAGTCCACAGCAGTGACAGATAAGGTATCACCCCAAAAAAGACATATTTCCGAAAATGATAATTCGGAATTGACTTCAAAAAGTCCAAAAGTTGATGATACGTCGGATTTGAGACACTTCCTTATTGCGAAACGAAGAAAACTGGACAGCATTGATACTAAAATAGAGACTGGGAACAAAGCAGAAGGTAAATTAATCATTGTACTGTACATTTTTATACAAGACTTTTCTGAATTTAAATTGAAGACAGGCAGTAACCGCAGAAAATGGTTGCTTTCCGGTAAGATAATTTATTAAAAAAATTTCGCCGTGATTTCCGGAGGTGACGGCTGAAAGGGAATACTAGAATAATACTTTCTTTTTTCAACTTCACCTACTACTGATTATACTGATTTCAGGCAAGAAAATTAAAACTCACTATTCAGAAGAAAGCAAGACCAAAGAGTCCAAGAAACGTGTCACATTCGATTTAGGAGTAGAAGATGATGATGAAATGCTTGAAGATACACCAGAAGAGAATACATTGCTTGTAAGTATTGCAAATGCTCCTCCGCCGTAGTTTTCATTTTTATACAAATACATACACGCGCACGCACACACACGATCACGTTCATTTTGAGAGTGCAGTGCCATTCCAATTATGACAATATAGTCCTCCTTTTCGGTTTCGATAACAGCGACCCTCTGAGATTATTTCCTAGCGGGCGCCCTAATATGACTCACGTACTGTACTGTATAGTTATGATGAATATCTTTATAAAACTGGTGCTAAATCATTGCAATTTACTATATAAAAAAATTCGATAGATAACCTTCGTTAAAACACTCAACAGTAATTATTAAAGTTTCGAACAAATTTCTGCAGGCAGAAACCGAAGAGGAATTGACAATAACCACTCTCCGCAACCTCGGCGGCGAACACAACGAGCTGTGGTACATCGTGGCGGACACTGACGCACTGCTAGATGAAGACCAATTCATTGAACAGCTGGTCACTACAGGTAACTGACAATTATTTATTTATATTAGCTATGGAGGGAATTCCCTGCAGACTTGTTCCCTGAGCGGATAAAACTTGGGCTTTTCAATGCGAGAGTGAATAGACATTATTTAGATGTCCATGCTCAATCGTCGACCTCATAGTCACTTTCGATCAGGTGAGATGGAGGTCAAATACGCACTAATTTTTTAATTTAAAAAAATATATGATTTGGCAAAAATGCGTTATATTAGCAAAATAAGGCATTTTTCACGATTTTCCATGTGTTGCGCGAGGTAATTGACACGACCATAACGTACAAGCGAAAATAGGGACTGGGGCTCAGTGCCTCTGGACGCCAGCAGCCAAAGGCTTTATTTGTTCCAGATGATAAATGCTGTCTCCTAGTGCCGTTCGCAGTGAAATATGAAATAGACGCCTTGTGCGTGGGTGATTGTCGCGGGCGACCGCGCGTTATGACCGCGCGACAAATGTCGCGGCGACTGGCAGCGCCGCCTGCGCATATTGTAGGTATGTTTTTACAAAACAATAAATTTGTTATAATTATTAATACAAAGATCGAACACATAGAAACATTTCTTCGACCGAGTGGAATTTGAACCCACGACCATGCTGCACCGTAGCATTGCTCTTACCAACCGAGCCACAGGTCAAGTTACCGAGTTGTCGAAATTCACGTGAGTGCTTTTGTTATCTTTGTACTGACATTTGGCATTCGTCGCCGCTAGTGACATCTAGTGAGAGATTTTTGAAAAACCTTACATACAAACTTTACAGGTGTCACAACTAACAGATGTCGCTTTTCGATCAAGTAATAAAATTTTTGATAATTTATTTTTTTTAAACTCCTATTACAATAATTTATTATATAAGTACTTGTCACTCTTAAACCTAAAAGGGTTTGTTTGTGTGTAGCTCTGTTCGTAACATTTTGTTACAAATAATAACAAAAAGAATATGTCACATAATGGTTATGTGTAACATATTTTTTAATTTCATTTTTATGAATTGCACCTAATTCGGCCTCATTTTTACACACTTACAGTGCAAAATACCCAAAACGATGAAACACAAGAACCTTCCAATCCGATCTTGGATTGCTGTTTTCAAGCCATGGAAGAAGGTAACCACGTGGTAAGTGTAACTTGTTTTTCTTTCACCGGTATTTTAACACATTTTAATATTTTAACTTGTATGATACATATTGCAGCTTTCCCTACTGTAGCGCAACGCCTTTGATATTCGGCGATACCGCCACCCGTATAGGTACTTGCGCTGTTTAGGGGCACATTCCCATTATGTCGTGGCCGTTTATTTTATCGTTGAACGACTGTCGTGTCTAGCTGTTCCGACTTGATCGTGACGACAATTATTTATCGGTTCACGACAGCCGCCTTGTCGTTCGCACGACTAACTGTCGTCACATTTTTGTCGTTATGTTTTAATTATCGTCAGCCGACTTGTCGTTCTAAATAACGTACCGTCAAAAATTCGTGAACTACAGTTAATCGTGTCGTTCGATGTGTGAACAACTTCATTTAAATATACAAGCCACGACACTTTAAACCATAGGTTCCTGAACTTGTCGACTCACCGCCCACTTACGCAAGTTTTAAAAAAAATAAAATATTAGTGCACATTTGACCTCCATCTCACCTGATGGAGAGTGACGATGAGGTCGACGATGGAGCATGCACACCTAAATAATGCCTATTCACTCTCGCCTTGAAAAGGCCCAAGTTATAACGTTCAGGGAACAAGTCTGCAGGCAGGGAATTCCACTCCATAGCCGTTCGCCATATGTGGAAGCGTAACGCTTCGTGCGAATCTTTGGAATATCCACAACATAGGGATGGAACCTAAGCCTACGCCTAGTCCCCCGGTGATGGAAAGGGGAAGGCGGAATTAAATTGTGTAATTCCATCGTACACTCCCCGTGATATATCCTTTAAAATACCGATAAGCAGGCAACTTTCCGGCGGTGTTCAAGGCTTTGCAGCTTCGCGTCCACTAATTCCGAGTAACCAATAAACCTCTTGGCACATTTTCAATTGAATCCAAAGTGGCCAGTTGATATGTAGCAGAGCCATCCCAAAGGTGGCAGCAGTACTCCATGCATGACCGGACTTGTGCTTGGTACAGCTGAAGCAACTGTCCCGGTGTAAAGTAACGCCTCACCCTGAACGATGCCAAGCTTCCTTGCTGCATTTTTAGCCATGGATTCAATGTATCTGCCGAAGTTCAAATTGGACGACAGGTCCATTCCAAGTAGCTGGAGACAGTCGGCTATCGGTATGGATATATCACGAAAAGTCGGAGTCCGTTTTGTGGAGAATAGACACGCCTGAGTTTTGGTAGCGTTAAATTTGACAAGATTGACATCGCCCCAATCGGAGACTGGAGTGTTAAATCCAAACGGCTAACCATGGACTCTCGACAAAACCGGATTTCCTCTCCACTGACCCTTGCATTGGTCAAGTACCTATCTACAACTGTGCTGTTATCAGCATACGCAAAGGTACCTGGAATTAACATATCATTGATATGCAGCAGAAACAGAGTTACTTTACAGTACGCAACCCTGAGGAACTCATCTCTCTAAATCTCTCATATCTATCGCCATATGTTCGGAAGTGTAGCCTTCTAAGACCACTCGAATCGAACGTTCACTCAAGAAATCCGAGATCCAATTGCAAAGGTCATTGGGAAGCCCATAAGAGGGAAGCTTACTTAAAAGGTTTACGTGCCAAAGATACTCTGTCAAAAGCTTTAGAAATGTCCAAAGATACTGCAAGTGCTTCGCCTTGCTTTTTATAGCCTCGCTCCATATGTGACAGACATACAAAAGAAGATCCCCAGTACTTCGCCCTCGTCGGAATACGTACTGGCGATCACTGAGGAGGTCGTTGTCTTCAAGGTACGACAGGAGACGGTTGTTGAGTACGCGTTCCATAGTCTTGCAGAGTATGAAAGTGACTGAGATAGGTCTATCTATAGTTGACAGGGTCAGCTCTGCTTCCCTTTTTCGGCACAGGTTGCACGTTTGCAAGCTTCCACGACCTGGGAACTACACCAGTCTCAAGTGAGAGGCGGTACAGGCGTGTGAGAACAGGAGACAACTCAGGCGCACAGTTACGCAGGACTATTGCTGGAATTCCATCTGGCCCGCTAGCTTTAATCACGTCTAGATTTCGCAGAGTTCTAAGTACCTCTTTTTGGCGTATGCGAACTGGCGCCATAGCGCAGCCAGCCTGAGGTAAAGTAGGTGATAGGTTCCCTGCGTCATCCAGACGCGAACTCTCTGCAAAGAATGAGGCAAAGAGATTCGCCTTTTCTTCCGCAGTATGAGCCAGCGAGCCATCCGCATCCTCAGCAGAGGTGGCAGTGATGGGCGACAAAAGTTAGATTCGACCGCTTTGACCAGGGACGAAAAGGATTTGCTGTCTGCTGGATAAGAGGCAAGCTTGGCCCCTATGTGGCGCACCTGGTCGAACTTGGCCCTGCGTAACATACTTTTGCACTTCTTGGCGGCCTTATTAAAAGCTTTCTTCAAATTTTGAGTACTCGCAGCTTTGCGTAGTCGAGCATCTGCTCAAGGTTTTTACGCGGACTGTTTACGTGCTTCAGGACAACTACAATCAGCGTTAAACCATGGACGAGCTTGGGGTCCATTGGGTACATCAGAGTATGGTATGTAATACTCCATACCCAAAAGCAAAACCTTGATTATAGCATCAGCACAGCTCGACGAGTCTCCTGAAGTAAAGCACGCCTGACAAGGGTATGACGCAAAGAAATGGCGCATTTCATCCAAATCTGCTAACTTGTCTTGCCCCACCCGTCTCAACCACTAGGGCCCTGATCGGGTGGATTTTGTTTATCGAGATAAAAAAAATTCGACAACAACACGTATTTTTTAAATTTACTTAACACAAAAAATCACAAGGAAATAAAATATTTGTTGTGTAGTTTGTATAATTCAGGTGTTTTTTTCAAATGCAGTCGCAGGGACCAGT